ATGAAAAGCTTCATCTTAAGTGGCTATCCAGTCTTCTCAAGATTGTGAATACATTGAGCTAATTTCAACAATTGCACATACTTCTAATTTCCATTAGACCAACACAAAGGGCTCTCTTTCTAAATTCAAAGCATCATACTAAAGCGATTTGAATTATGTCACATTTTGTTCCTCAAAGCACTTCTTGTTCTTTCCCCACCAGGCTGGGGACAGAGTCTTTCCTTTGGAATCAGTGAAGCAGCTGAAGGAGCTGATGGATTTGGATGACGAAAACATCAGCCTGAACCTCCCTGAGACGAGCATTGAAGCCGCTTGCGTCAACCCACTTCTGCCACGAATCTTCCGGCCAGTGTGTCGAGGAAGGAGAACAGGGATTGTTTTCTCTAAGCTGGTAAGACTGGATAAAGAAAGAAGAAACAAACAAATAGATACATGCTTGTAACAGACGAAGAATGTATGACTGATTAGATTTAATTTCCGGCCAATTTTCAAGTGTTCCTCTCAAGTCTTCTTCAAATGTGTTTCCTGATCTGTATACAAACACAATTCATCTCTAAACAGCGCACCACAGAGGGTATTGCATGAAAAGAAGTCATGCCGGTGAGATATTTGCTATCTGCTACATCACGACGAGTAATACATCCAAAGTAATCTTTAGAATCTAGATTGAAAAACAAAAAGGGAAAGGTTATGTCTTTATATCTTGAAGGAAGACATGGTAGATTAAAGGATACGCTTGTGTTATTGCAAAGAGATTCGGTTAGCATGACAACCATCCTTCATGTATTCCTGTCTTCAAAACCACATTATTTTATTGTACTACAGTACTGACTGCAGCTTCCCTTATCAAGGTTTTTATGCGGAATGCAGAGAATTGGGCCATAATACTTAGTCCGTCAGTACAGCTTGAACTGTGTGAATCATAACTGCAGCACTAAACCATCAATTGGGCTTTTGGGTACCAATAATGCAATAAATCTTCACAAAGCAATAAAACAAACTGTTTTATTATTCAGAAAGGATAACTATTTTTATTTTCTTACAAAGGAAGGGAGATGTAGTTTTTCATAAATTACTCAACTAGGATTTACTGTAAATAGGCATATTTTTCAGCCATTGATTCATTACAATCTGTGCAAGACTGAATATTTTGTTGAGGTGTTATTATTAAAACCCTAATTGTTTCAATGCAATTCCAAAGTGTTATGTTTACATTTCTTTATGTGCATTGTATTACAGTTATTAATAGACAGAAAAAATAACAAACATTGTAAGTATGTAAACAGAATTATGTAAATAAACCTGTTATATAAACTGTATATGCCATAATGATCCATCAGTTTCTTGAGTGAAGAATTAATAAATAAATAAATATACAAAAGGTTAAAATTAATTGAAAATCAACCAAATCTTGTATGAAATTAGACCTTTAGTGTGCATTTATGACAGCAAGTCAGCGTCAGTGCGATTGATCTAAATGAGTGCTCAGTCAATTTATGATCACGTTAATGAGTTCATTGATGTGTCATATAATAGGGTTAGGGTTATAATGACCTATATCAGGGTTTAAAGAAGCCAAAAAGATCTGCACACCTAGGAGCTACCATTTATTAACTGACAGAGGAAGAGCATGTTGGCTGAAAGGTCACTAAATCTTTAACGGGATCTTCTTAGTGTACAACAACATCGATTACATTATATTTTTGGTTTTGGTATATTAAAGAGGAAATATAATCCCCCTTTTCCACCTTTTCAAACAGTCCCCTGTGGTCTAAATGAAACATCTGTGCTGTGCTTTGGTCAAAGTATAACCTGAATCAAGCAGCAGAGGAGGTTTGTGACCCTGTATAAACCAGCTCTCTCAGAACGCTCCGTTTTGGTGTGTGTGTCTCTTTAAATGCAATGATGTGTCCCCTTTAATGGATTTATTAATTTTGTTAATAATATTAAAATATTGAATATCCCTTTAAATGTTCTTGATGCTCCTGCAACAAGTGAAGCAACTAGTTAGCTAGCTTCATTTGGACTGGAAACAGCGCAAAACCGTTGCCTGGTTTTGAGCAGAAGTGACAAACTCTGCAGACCCGCCCATATAAATATTAATTATCTTACTGATTATCTTATTAGTTAGACTCGTGAAAAAAAAACAATATGGTCGTCTGGATTGGATAAAGATTCTCTAACTTCTAGGAAAGTAAGCAGAAGGAATCCTCCAAATTTTAAATTGAATGATATTCTTTTCTGTTTGTATTCCCAATTTACAATCACACACATGCTCTTAGAAAAACTGTTTAATCAGCACTTTTATTACTCAGATACACACTCTCTCAGACCTGACAACAGGCTTCAGTTTGTTCACTCAAAAGGATAACCCCTCACTGTTTAAACATCTTATTATCCACATCCTGCTACTGCTGCTCCATAAAGTGGCTCTGAAATGATAATACCAGACAAGAACTGAACAAACAGTCTTTAGGGACTATTACAGCTCATTAGGCGCAGACTGCACCCTGGTTGCAGGCGGATATGGACACAGATCAAATTATCAGTATTTGCAGTATTTGATTAAACTGAAAAATCAGGGTGGCACAAACACATATGTATAGGTCAGATGAATATTCCTGTTTAATTTTCATTTTTCTTGCACTCCACAGTGAAAATCATTACACCTTTGGATCCTTGTGAAATATGCGCCAACGCTGCCTGTTACGGGTGTTTGTACTGAGGCTGCCATCTGCCAAATACACACACATCCAGCGACCCAGCAACCACGAGGGTCAAGGTTCAGAGGTCAACTGATGCCTAAAAAATACTGGGTTAAAAGTTTTGGTACACACTTATCATACCTTTATCAGAAAAATGTCAAAATAGACATACTGCATTGTTTGAATAAAATATCCGTCTCTCCAATGAATTTCAGTTTGAACTTTTTTCACTCATGTATTAATTGAAATTAAGCTTCTCAGTAAATAACATTTTCAATTTCTTTGGGTCATTGCAAGCAATTTTTTCTAGGGTTTAAAAAGCAATCCACTTTTTTCACTGTGACCCACTTTAGACCTTTGTTTTCGTCTGGCAGTCACAGCCAACTAGAGCAGCTAATTTATGGAATGGCAAACAGAAAGGTGCAAAAAGGCACCAAATGGCAAGGCATCACCAGCCTGCTTTCATGTCCCTGTGCTTCAGAGCAATTATAGTCAACAGGGATGAAAGAAAATCCTCTTTGTAATCATTTAAGGCTGTGTTGCTGTTTGTATTGTGTTTGTGTGTGCCCTCTGATCAATATAACTTTCAATAATGGGATTTTGAAGAGTCTTGACCTATCAAGTGAGTCACAGAAATCCATTGTTTTCAACCCTTGATGTTGTTTTCACTTCAACGTGTGCATTAGAATAATTAAAAATAAGATCACTTTAGTTCCCCCCATGTCACAAAAACATGAAAAACATTTTTCATTTGGTTCATCCAATCTTTATAACAAAAAAAAACATGGATTAAAGGATTGTTAAAATGATTTGTGCTGAAATAAAAACCATTTACACCCGTATGACTTCTAAATTTCTTTCTAATATTACCTGGGTTCAAATATTTTACATAGACAAGACAGCCAAATACAATTAGGAGGAAATCAGAGCATGATATAATGCAATAATGAATCAGTTCTATAAAATTATCATTTTAAATCAGAAACCAGTAGTGGGATTTTACTGAGAAATAAGGTCAAAGGTCATTTGTATTGTCCCCTCAGGGAAATTGGTTTGCAGCTGGAAACCATAAACTGTACGCTGGAAACATATAAACCACCAATAGACAATCCACAAATATTTTCTACATAAATTCAAAAGGGCACCGCAAAGATCACCCAGTTAAAAGTGCAGTAGAGTATTACTCAGGCATTTGAAGTATAGGTCTATGGTTATGATGTACCTGAGCCTCTATTTGTCTGTTGATTTTTGTATGTTTGGACTATTGGTCAGACATAAGTATTGTAAGCCTTTAACTTTCGTTATGTACAGATGTGACTCACTATTTTCAGAAGTTTTACAAACAATTAATTAATTGATAGAAAGAACTTGGAGAATATTGACCTATGATTGAATAACTTGTGTTTTTTTACGATATGATATGCGATAAAAGCCTAGCCTATATGATATCATTTCATAGACTGTAAATATAATTTGTCCTTCACAAGAACTTTTTTGGGGGGGAATTGAATTGCCACTTTCACTTATCATACACTTCAATAGGCAATATTATTATTTATACAGCCTATAAGAATACGAATTCAAGTTGTTTTAATTATATAATTATAATTATAATAATAAGAGAATGAGAGTAAGAACCAGAACATACCTCCTTCACCAGAATAAGAGGTTCGGGTAGCAAAGCCTGTCCATCCCACTTTAAACGAAAACGGAAGTAACTTGAAGTGAGACTCTTGCCTTTTTTAGGATCCTCTGTTTTTTGTTTCTTCTCCACGGCAGTGAATGTCGACCTCGTGCGGTTATTCAGTGACGTTACAACGGTGTGTTGAATTTAAAATAACGGACATTTCCTACCTGACGGTAGACTACCGAATTTAATTCAACGCATGTCCATTCAAAGGACAAATTAAATAGATTCAAGCCTATTTGTTGGCCCAGGTTCAGTTTTTCTGCTGTTCAGGTGAAAAGGAAAAAATGTCTCGGTTATTTACCTTTGACAAGGATACCTTTAAAAATCAACCCAGGTAAGAAGCAAAGACTGTAAGGTAAGAATTAAAAAAATCTACCGGAAGTTGTGTGAGGTAGTTACCAACTTCAGGATCCAAAACCAAGTTGGGCCGAATTAGAGATGGCTATAGGTTTAGCTTTTCCAGTTGACAGGAAATATGAAGAAATGTTTGTTGGACTGACTGAATAAAAAACACTCAGTCAACTATAAACAGACGACGTTTGTGTTTAGAGTTTGGTAAACTTTTACGCAACTTTCAAAATGTCAAGAGTTTTGTCATAAAATCATTTCAAATATGTCACGTGGCTCGTTGGTCTAGGGGTATGATTCTCGCTTAGGGTGCGAGAGGTCCCGGGTTCAAATCCCGGACGAGCCCACCCTTTTCTTCTCTTTTTTTTTTTTTTTTTTATAAATGAAAGGGTCTCAAGTACGAGGGTTTCGTGTAGGATGGCCGTAACATAGAGTGAAAACTAGTTCTTCTCAAACAAGTAATCACAGAATAATTAGATTGCTAAAACTTGAGCTGTAAGACAGCATTTTTTTTGTATTTTTTGTATTTGTATGTATATTGCCCCCAGATCTTCACAGAAGCTGTTCACAAACAAGTTACAAATTAAAGCTTCCCATAAACGAATAATAATCATGAAAATGTAATGATCTACAAGAGATACTGCTGTACCTAAATCAAATGTATTAATTCCTCTCAAAACCCACTAGATGGCACAATTCACCAAACTTTTTTTTACTACAGTCTGCAGACTCAGTGCATGTTCATGGCATATGGATATTATTTACATATATTTATTATTTTAAGGTTTTTTTGGGCCTTTTTGCTTTAATTGGATAGACAAGCTGAAGACAGGAAATGCTGGGAGTAGAGAGTGGGGGATGACATGCAGCAAAGTGCCAAGGTCGGATCCAAGCCTACGACCACTGCGCACAGGACCCCCGCCTCCGCACATGGGGCGCGTGTCATAATCGCTAGGCCATCAGTGCCACCAACATTGATGAGATGATCGAGTGTTGTCTATATTCTCCAAAAATGGAAGCAATTTCTTGGTACAATATAATCAGTGTTAAAAAAATGGACAGCAGCACATAATTCCCCCGGCAAAAACCACATAAAATAAATAAAAAGTTAGGTTGAAAATTTTTATTTGAAGTATTGCATTTTTGTTTGTTCCTGTACCATATCCTGACAGCATCCTGGCTCTTTTTTTGTATTTGAAAAAACCTCGCAGACAAAAGGTGCCCAACATTACCGCTTGTCGTGCTTGTGGAGTTCATGAAAACCTTTGACTTCCAATCCCAGGGAGTCATGGGAAATAGTGAGATTTCCTGGAGATTTCCTGGCGCACATTTCTTAAGTTGCTTCATTTCGTTTTCTTTAGAGGAGGCTTGCGGTTTTATTACCACAGTTTGTTTTATAGGGAGGAAAACCCTTTTAGCAAACCTCCTATATCGATGCGGTTCAGAGAGAGGCTTTTGGAGCTTACCCCAGTACACATATACAATAGAGAGAAGCATGCTGCCAGTCCATGTCAGGGCCAAGAGATATAGACAGAAAAGGACAATTACATTTGGTTTCCTTTTCATCTGATATAAATGCTTTGTAGTGTGGAGGAATGTGCAGAGACCATGCTGAGTCAGCTCAAATGCAGACTTTATGTTATGGTGCAATCAGGGAAACAAATTGTAAACATCTGTGTGTGATTAAGAAGTCACTGATAACCCTCCCTGATCCCCCTAATTTCTCTGAAGGACTCAAATCTATGTACTTGATATGAATTACTGTCTTTTCCCGGACTTTAGTCATAAACGGATAGAAAACGTTTCTTACAGCATTACAACCTGAAAGTCAATCTTGATGTCAACATGTTGCTGTTTGTTTCATACGATGAGTCAATCTCTTACACTTTGCCAAAACTCTCCGCTTCAGGCGATTTGTGGATGTTTCAAAAGGTAACGTACCATAGGAATGTACCACAAGGTGTGTCCATTTCATGATTTGACAAATCCCACTCAGTTTTCTTTCCCAGCAAGCAAACTTTCTCTTGCACCTCTGACCTCTCACAGGGCAAATTTGAAGTCTACAATGATAAAGCTTGCAGATAAACCTTTGTAGTTTTATACTAAAAGTATTTGGTGAAAGACAGAATTAGAAAAACTAAATAAAAAACTTTTCATTAATCTATACATTTTTAGGTTTTTAAACATGTGGGGGGGAAACATCTTCATTACCATTTTGAGAACCCAAAATGATGTGTTCAAACACCTTCTTTTTTTTGGAACCTTTAAATGTTTTGCATGTTGCTTTGGAAATTACTGTACTTAACAATTGATTGGTTATCAATGCCATGTTTTCAGCTGTGTCAGCAACTGTTGTTTTTTATTTATGAAATGGCAAATGCAGCCAACAGATTTGACTGGTCCACCACTGGACACTCTGCGGTGCTGCAGCATGGGCTTGTTGATTTACCGTCTCTTCAAAGTGACACATAGTTACACTGCCTTATAACTGCAGAAAAACAGATTTTAAGATTGAGAGATGAATTGCAAGTGTTGGGCACTTGAGACCCTTTCTGCTATTTGGGAAGTGAGGGGCAAGAAATTCTTCATCATCAAATCACAGCCGAGTGCTTATTAGCTAATTAAGCTAACGTTAGTGTCAGGATCTCTACACCTGTCACTTTCAGTCAGTGGTCTATGGCAGTCATTTGAGTTAAAAGCTGTCTTTTCTTTTTGCTCAAGCTAACACAATATCTTATGGCAGGCTTTTGTTCTGTCACAGAGGAGCGTCTGACAGAATTCATCTACTATCTACACTCTTGAGTTTCCTTTCTCAGACGGGCTTCTGTAGGAGTATAACCCCGAGGTTGTGCCCATCTCAGTCAGCGCAGCCAATTGAACAACAACTGTCTTTTGTTTAAAAAATAAAAAAAAATCAGGTTAAAACATGTTGGTGGCATTCGAGTCTGGTTTTCTCCATAGTGTGCAGCAGTAGGAAGCCGTTCTTCCCTACCAGGTGGAGTTCTTTAAATGTGTGATGTAGTGATTACCTGTTCAAATCAACAGACAGACTTTCCTTTTTACCTTTCATTCCAATTAACACGTCTTCTTAAAATCCTGGCCAGTTTAGTTAAGTTTTCATAGTTATGATTGGAAATCTCATTTTGTAGGAGGGATCTGAATCACTGTTTT